AAGAAACAAGACCTAGGGTCATGCCAGGCAAGTGTTAAGTCCCTCACCCATACACTTAAAAGAATGAACTATGTTCTCACAGCCACATGATTCTCTTTTTCTCTAGCAGCTAAATCAGCCCTGGCCTTGAGATAAGCAATGTTGAAACAATTTGCCGCTCCTCCACTGCCAGACACTAACTGATCCCCGTTCCACCAGCTACAACTACAGCTCTGATTGGACTAGAGACTGATCTCAGGAATTTTTTCTCATAAGAGACCACTGACCATGGATGGGTTCTGGCCTATTTATAGACACTGTGCAGTGAGGCCTTCATGTCCTTGCTTCACCTTCATGTCCTTGCTTCACCCTGTACTGGGCCTAGTTGTAATGCATTAAAATGTGAAGTCTCCAACCCAAGGTGAACATGGGTCGTATGTAACTTGCATGTTTGTTCAATACGCATGCATTAGGACCACCTCATGAATATTCATAGCTCCTTCCATAACCTGTTGCATATGTATATTTGGTCAACCCGTTCAGCTTAAATTTCTTTCCAATCCCGCCACCCTTGAAGTGTCTGTTTCCGGACTCTGCCAAAGACTGAGCTCCCCATCCCATCAGAATGGCTACCTTGTAGGCTGTAACCCTTTAAAAGAAAGTCTTAAACCTATAATCCTAACACTTTGGGAGGCTAAGGCAGGTGGATCACCTGAGATCGGGAGTTTGAGACCAGCCTGACCAACATGGAGAAACCCGTCTCTACTAAAATTACAAAATTAACCAGGCATGGTGGTGCATGCCTGTAATCCCAGCTGGAGCTACTCGGGAGGCTGAGGCAGAAGAATTGCTTAAGTGGGAGGTGGAGGTTGTGGTGAGCCGAGATCATGCCATTGCACTCCAGCCTGGGCAAGAAAAAAGAAAGTCTTATCTCCAAATCATAGATCTCATGATTTTTCAGTTATCACTTTTGATCTCTATTCTACAGATTAAGAAACAGTCTCAAAGAGCTTTGTACTGAGTTAGAATTAAACTCACACCCAAGCTCATGCTCTTTCTGGGACACAGAGCTGTCACTTTCAGGGAGGGATGCAGTTTCCGGCAGTGTGTATTCTCGAAGGCTGGAGGGAGAAACTGCGAGGAAATGGAAGCAGCAGGAACCAGGGGAAGGCTGCTGCAGGGCAAAAGAGCCTGGACCGGGCTGGGGAGACAACTTCCCAAGGGGGTGGTTGGAGGTAGGGAGAAACCTCTGGGTGGGGTTTAAGCTGCTACAGGGAGCACAGCAGGGGCTATACAAGGCTAGGGCGCTGGAAGAGCCAGGGGCTATGTTGAGGTTAGGTGGCTGTGCAACCTGGACACCCACCCCGCCTGTATATCTGTTCCTCTCCTAGCAGTTAGGAGATGAGCTGTGTCTTGATGGAGAAGCTGGGCCAATAAAGACAGGAGAAGCCCTGAATGCTTGCCAGGATGAGGCCTGTTTCTTATCAACTTCAGTTTCTTCAGCTAGAGAAACTGAAGCCTGTTTATCTAGTGAGAGATATGTTTATCTAGCGAGAGATAAACAGTGACTCCCCCATGGTCTCCACACTTTCCTGACCTCAGTCTCCCAAACTGAAAAAAGAAAAGGTTGAATTAAATGAGCTGCACATTCCTTCCCACTCTGACCTCTGATACCAGGCATCCATCCTTGTTGCCCTTGGCTCAGATCCCAGCCCCTGCCACATACTTGACATGTAGCCCCAGGCAAGACAGGAGGCCTCTCTGAGCCGCAGTGTTCTCATGGGTGAAATAAGGAAGACAGTGTCTTCCTTGGGCAGAGTTAACGGGCCATACACGGGAGTGTGTCTGCACAGCGAGGGACTGACTCCAAGGCAGCATCCGGCGGCCAGGGAAGGCCAAGGCTCTGGCTGAGGTCCTCATTTGTCTGCCTGGCCCGTGGCTCATTTATAGATATCTCCTTCCTGGCTGCCAGGCCATAAGGGAAGTGGGAACAAAGATGCTGAGGCGGCAGTTTGGAGCCTTTTTCAGTAAGAAGCCTCTGGCCACTCTTCCCCTTCTCATCCTGCCCACACCCTGTCTGCTGGGCAATCTCACTGTGATCCTCAGGACAGGCCTGAGGTGGATGGTTGGATGTCACCATCTCCATTTTACAGATGGGAAGACAGAGATCCAGAGAGGACAAAGGATCTGCCCAAAGTCCTGCAGCAGGATTACAATAGCGCTGAAACCAGCATTGAGCTCTTTAATCTGGAGCCCAGTGCTCTTCCTTTGTACCCCATAGCAGATAGTTCTATAAAATGAAGAGTCTCCTATTTTTTCTGGTTTACTAAAAGGCATTTTCCTAAGTGGATTGACTTAAGGAAGAGCAGGGCTACACTCTGCAAACAGCCCAGGGTTTTATGAATAGCATCAGTTTTAGCATGCTAAGACACAGGGCTCTGTGACTATTATGAGGCCCTGGAGGCTGCAGAGTTTTACAGATTGTGCCAGGCTTTGCCGACAGCACAGGACTCTAAAAAAGGCATCAAGTTTTGTAAACTGTGGGAATCCACAGATGGTATTGTGATCCACACACATGGTGCTCCGTAAAATGCACCTTCATGTAATACTTGCACGAGGCGCAGCAAACACCACATACTGGCAAGTGGTAAAGCCAGGGTGCAAACCAGTATGGTCAGACCTCAGACTTGGGCCACTCATAGCAGGAGCTGACTAGGGGTTAGCCAGGGAGCTGGTCAGAAGGCATGTTAGCCTAAGGCTCAGAGGCTCCTGGGTACCTGACCCTTGCTCTGGTTTCACAGCTCAAGTTCAGGAATATTCTTGGACCAGGCTTTGCCAGCCTGGGGAAGTTGAGGTAATAAATTAAAGCTGCTCATACAGAGGGTACTATATATACCATGGCCTGGGAGGTATTGTGCATTGCTTGACTCAAAGATCAATGAGATAGTCCAGGTGTGGTGGCTCACACCTGTAATCCCAGCACTTTGGGAGGCCGAGGTGTGCAGATCACTTGAGGCCAGGAATTCGAGAATAGCCTGGCCACCATGGTAAAACCCCGACTCTACTAAAAATACGTGTGGTGGCATGTTCCTGTAATCCCAGCTACTTGGGAGGCCGAGGTACGAGAATCCCTTGAACCTGGGAGGCCGGGGTTGCAGTGAGCCAAGATGGCCACTGCACTCCAGCCTGGGAGACAGAGGGAGACTCTGTCTCAAAAACAAATGAACAAAAACAAAAAGATCAATGACATAAACTTGGCCAGACAAGCTGATCCCCCTGCTGAGACCGTTCCATGCATAGAACCTCTTCAGTCTCTGGGGCCAAAATGAGAGTAACTGGGCTTCCAGAAAGTTTAAAAGGGTCTTCATACCTGTAATTTGGAATCTGGAAGGTTGCACCTCTGCCGATCCCTGTGAGGGTTCATGGTGCTGACTTTGGTCAGAAGGATTTGGAGAGACAGATCCCATTTGCTTTTCTTAAGCAGGGTCTAATCAGGTCAGACCCTGGGTCAAACCCATCGGGATCTGTTCTTTCTACCAATTCAAGCCAACTCTTGACCTTCCTCACTCACATTTCTGGTTTCTCAAAGACTCAATTCGTTCATGTAACAAGTACTTGTTGAGTGCCTCCTGAGTGCCAGGGATATCTGTGATTATTTCACACATCCTCTACTTCCTACTAGCACCCTCATACAGCAAGTAGGAGCCAAGTGGAGTGGATGTATGTTTCTCTGTGATTGCACCCTGAAAGTTAGACTCCAAACCCACATCCTCATTCCAGGCAAAGACCTTATTCCAGGGACGGGGTCAGGTTCACTTCTGCATCTTGGATTTGGGGAAACCCAGAGATATTCCTCAGAGAAGACAGCCTGGGTGGAGGGAAAAGCCTGATTCTGGCATCAGAGGTTCAAGGCACCCACCACCTACTAGCTGGGTGATCTCTGGCAAGTTACTCAGACTGAATGTCTCATTTGTAAAATCAGGGAATAAATAACCTGACCTTGAGGTTCACTTCTGCATCTTAGATTTGGGGAAACCCAGAGATATTCCTCAGAGAAGACAGCCTGGGTGGAGGGAAAAGCCTGATTCTAGCATCAGAGGTTCAAGGCACCCACCACCCACTAGCTGGGTGATCTCTACAAGTTACTGAGACTGAATGCCTCATTTGTAAAATCGCGGAATAAACAACCTGACCTTACAGCGTCAATGGGAGGACCCAGTGGGGCCCTGCGTGTGAAAGTGCTGTGCAAGCTGGGAAGGGCAGAGTGGATTTGCTTTCCCTTGCTGCCCTGTTCTGAGCCCCACCTCTGCCACTCCCTTCTCCGCACTCCAGCCTCCAGGCTTGGCTTCTTTCTCCTTCACTGAACCTTCACAGTGGCTCTGCAAGGGAGGATTAGTGTCCCTTCTGTGTAGATGAAAGAATTGACGCTCAGGGAGATGCTGGGGCTTGCCTGAGATCGCTTGAGCAGCAAATGATGACTGAGATGGGACCCAGGTCTGTCTGGCTCCTGGACCTCCATCCTCAGTCCTCAGTCCAGAAAATTCTGGGAATTTCATATTTTCTATTCTGTTTCCCTCCTCTCCTTGCCTAGATGGCTGAAAGTGATGGACCTCCTACCATGAGCTCCACCCAGGCAGGCTGCCACCGGATACTTAGTGGACAGAGTCCCTCCTTGCTCTGGATTCTTGGCGCTCAGAGGAGAGATGAGGGATTTAGTGAGAGGGGATGGAGGCTTGAGGGGGACAGGGGTTCAGCGAAAGAGGACAACTGCTCAGCGGGGGAACAAGTGCTCTCTATGGGGCCCTCCTATTAAGGGAGGGGGACAGAAGTTCTGTGAAGGGAACAAGAGCTTGTAGGAGAAGGGCTCAGGTGGAAAAGGGAAGGGCAGTGACTTCGGGGGATGAAGGAGGAAGGTTGGGGAGCCTGGGGAGACCCGTCAACAGCCCCTCTGCCCCCCACCTCTCTGCTGCTAACAGAGTGGGAGAAAATACCTCAGGGCAATGCTGAGGCAAGAGGCTGGGAAAGCACAGGCTAAGGCTGAGCCTCAGGGAGGCGGGGCGCAGCTTCCTCCTTCCAGAGAGGCTGGACCTGAACAAACCCAGCCTTCCACAGCTGTGGAAACAAAGCAAGGGAGAGACAGAAGGAGAAAGGGACCCAGGGAGACAGACACTTGGAGACACTTGGGGTTGAGTTTGAGCAGGACTCCCTAACTTGTGCCTGGACAAGTCCGATGTCCTGTGTGGCCCAAGAACTGACCCAGTGTGTGGAGTTGCCACCATTACTGCAGCCCTGCTGTGGCTCACCAGCTGCTGTCTCCAGGAGCCCCTGAGAAGATTCGCTTCTTCTCCCCTGCTAAGCTCCAGGTCCTGAGATTGAATTAGGGCTGGAGCTCACTGCACCCTAGCAGTCATGGGACCCAGGATAGGTAAGTCTGGACAAAGTAAGGAAGGCGCATGGAGAGTGAGCCTGGGGGACATGTTCCCAGAGGAAAAGGTGCAACTGTAGAGTGAATGGGGTGGGTGGGGTGGGTGCTCACAGCTGTTGGCATAGAGCCAGGCACGTGGCTGGCAGAGCTCAGTGGAGATGTGTTAAATGAGTAAGTGAATGGCTAGAGGAGCATGAGGGGGCACTATTTACTCAGCTGCTGCCAGGGAACCCAGCAAACCTCGTCGATGAGACAGAGACCTAGAAGATAACAGAAAGAGGCCCCTGACCCCCTCATGGAGTCCTGTTTCTCCTCTAGAAGGAAACAAAGAGAAGAGATAGACAGAGAAAAAGAGAAAAGTTTAGTCAGGCACAGTGCAGAGACAGGCAGACTCAAACAGGTGCACAGGAGCTAGGAGAATGAAATATCAACAGGCGTCAGCAGGAGAACGCAGGGAAAGGGAGGGAGGTCAGACCTGGAGAGAGGGCTGCAGCAGAGACTGGGAGAGGCAGAGAGGCAGGAGCCAGAGCAGGAAAGAGAATCAGACAGGGACAGGTGCCAGAGAGCTACAGGCATACCTGCAGGCAGAGTCAGAAGATCCATCCAGAAGACCGGGAATTCAGAGTGACCTGCAGAGACCTGCGTGGGTTTACCGTGGAGTAGGGAGGAGGCTGGAGGAAAGAGGCCTTGAAGCTCTGCCTGCAGGGTGACAAGGAATCCCTCTGTAGCGAAGGCAGTGTTTCTGGGAACAATACCTGCCCCAGCATTTCCTGGAAAGGCAGGGCATTAGAAGAAACAGTCTTTAGCCTGGGAGAACTCCAGGTTAGACGCCTGCAGCAGCCACCTTTGACCTCTTTCCAAGCTGCCAATCCTCCCCTGGGCTGTACGAGCCTCACACCCATTTGGGCAAGGCCCAACTTGCTCCCAGGAATCCCACAGGGAGAGCTTCACAGGCCACGCAGACAGATTGGCTGAGGTGCAGCTGCAGGGACTCCAGGAGAACACAGCCACAGCCTGGGGACTGCAGTGTGGCAGGAAGGGCGGGATGGATGCTTCCTCTCAGAGCACATCACAGGACAGATGAGAATGAGATCAGATTTGGAAGGGGTGGTTGGGGGAGTGTGAATGGGCTATTGATAAACCAAATTCCCCATCAGCCTTGGTTTGGTATGGGTGGGAGGAATGGAGAGCCAGGGGTATGGGGACTAATAAAGACTTTGGCTGTGCTGCACCTCCCCTAAAGACCCCCAAGACTATTTTTCTGGTCCCAGCTCTGAAATATTCTCCAGGTGCCCCCGACCTCACACACAGACAGCGGGAAGCTGATCCCCAGCATCTGCCTAGCGGGCCACCGGATGCCACCTCTAGCCTCATTTCCTGAGACTCATTCTGGGCTGTGGCCAGGCTCACCACGCCACTCTGAGGGACGTGGGAATGCAGGTGGGGTAGGATACAGAGCCCGGAGCCTGGGAAGAGTCCCCAAGGGAGATGGGGCAGCTGTCCCAGTTGGGGCAGACACTGGAGAGGAGTGAAGGTCAGATCTGGCTCCAGCAGAGCCCCTCCAGCAAGTCACCACACACCCATTAGGCAGCAGTTTCCCTGCTTATGTGGGACAGCCATTCACACTGTGTGACTCAGATATTTCAGTTTCCCACCTGTTCACCTTTGCTCAGGAAGCCCCTGCCCACATCCCATCTGGTGACATTTGCCCTGCTTTCCAACTCTTCCAAATGCCAGCTCCTCCAGGAAGCCATCCCAGGTTCCTCCAGATGGAGGTAACCTCTCCCATATGCTGGTAAACTCATCCCCTTGTTTCTGGTATTTCTGTTCCTCTCCCCAGCCCATCTGTGCTCAAATATAAGCCATTCTAGGGCAGACAAGTGGGGCAAGGGAAAGAACCATAAGTCCCAGGTTCAAATGCCAGCACTGCATCACTGGCTTTAAGAGAACTCAGTGAAATGTCCACTCCCGACGTTTTTTTTTTTTTTTTTTTTTTGAGATGAAGTCTCTCTCTGTTGCCCAGGCTGGAGTGCAATGGCACCATCTCGGCTCACTGCAATCTCCCACTCCCGGTTTCTAGTGATTCTCCTGCCTCAGCCTCCCGAGTAGCTGGGGTTACAGGTGCCAGCCACCACATCCGGCAAATTTTTGTATTTTTTAAAATATTACAACTTTATTATCACATGTATCACAACTTTATTGCTTTTTTTAAAACTTTATTTGTTTTACTTTAGGTGCATACTGTATCTGACATTTCTCCCCATGTTATCCCTCCCCACCCTCCCCACCCACCACTGTCTCCCCCCACCTCCCAATTGCTCCCAGTATGTGATGCTCCTCTCCCTGAGTCCATGTGTTTTCATTTTTCAACACCCACCTATGAGTGAGAATATATGGCGTTTGATTTTCTGTTCTTGTGTCAATTTGCTGAGAATGATGGTTTCCAGATTCATCCAAGTCCCTACAAAGGACACAAACTCATCCTTTTTTATGGCTGCATAGTATTCCATGATGTATATGTACCATATTTTCTTTGTCCAGTCTATCATTGATGGGCAGTTGGGTTGGTTCCAGGTCGTTGCTATTGTACACAGGGTTGCAATGAACATATGTGTGCATGTGTCTTTATAGTAGAACGATTTACAGTTCTTTGGGTATATACCCAGTAATGGGATTGCTGGGTCAAATGGAATTTCTATTTCTAGATCTTTGAGAAATCGCCACACTGTCTTCCACAATGGTTGAACCAATTTACACTCCCACCAACTGTGTAAGAGTGTTCCTATTTCTCCACATCCTCTCCAGCATCTATTGTCTCCAGATTTTTTAATGATCACCATTCTAACTGGTGAGAGATGATAACTCAGTGTGAATTTTTGTGTTTTTAATAGAGACGGGATTTCACCATGTTGGCCAGGCTGGTCTCGAACTCTTGACCTCAGGTAATCCACCCACCTCTGCCTCCCAAAGTGCTAGGATTACAGGTGTGAGCCGCCACACCTGGCTGTTACTCTTTTTAATAGGTGAGAAACAGATCCTCAGAGGAGACAAGCAAGGTCCAAGCTCACCCCAAAGTAAACAGTAGGGTGGAGGCCAGCTCCCTCAGGTCGGCCTGGTACCAGAGCCCTTCCTCTCTGTGCCATTGCCCTTGGGCTTTCTCTTCCCTTCCGCTGATCCCATACAGGTGTGCATGCCAGAGAAGGAGATAGCATTGCAAATGCTTAGACAAGTGACTACCTGGCATGTTTGTGAAGCTGGTGAGCTGCCCAGTACCGTCAGAGGAGTGGGGGTCACTGGGCAACATCTTGGGAAGTTAAGCCAAAGAAACTGATGGGGTCCAGTCACAAGAGAATCTGAGTCCTGGGAGTATTTGTAATCACCCCACTCATGTATGCAGCACTTTTCTTGTTTTGTTTTGTTTTGAGACAGAGTCTTGCTCTGTTGCCCAGGCTGGAATGCAATAGCGGTCTTGGCTCACTGCAACCTCCGTCTCCTGGGTTCAAACGATTCTCCTGCCTCAGCTTCCTGAGTAGTTGGGATTACAGGCAAATGCCAACACCATGCCCAGCTAATTTATTTTTATTTTTTATTTTTGAGACAGAGTCTCCCTCTGTTGCTCAGGTTCGAGTGCAAGGACACGATCTTGGCTCACTGCAACCTCCGCTTCCTGGGTTCAAATGATTCTCCTGCCTCAGACTCCCAAGTAGTGGGCCACCATGTCTGGCTAACTTTTGTATTTTTAGTAGAGACGAGGTTTCACCATATTGGCCAGGCTAGTCTCAAACTCCTGACCTTGTGATCCGCCCTCCTCAGCCTCCCGAAGTGCGGGGATTACAGGTATGAGCCACTGCACCTGGCCTGTGCAACACTTCTATGATGACAAAGCACTCTGGGCCCATTTTACAAATGAGGAAACAAAAGCTAGGAGGAGATCTGTTACCTGGCCAGGTACAGCTACTCAGCAACAGAACCAGGGCTCAGACTCAAGTCCCCCAAGGGAGATGGAGCCCTTGCTTGCCTCCTCCTCCCCTCTTTCTGGACATGTCTGTACTGAAGGCTCCAATGTTCCCAGCCTGTGCCTGGTGAACATAGGCCTGAGGGGGCTGGTTCTGCAGGAAGCCTGCCTGATGCCCTCTCTAGACTCCAGGGTCTTGTGCCAAAACAGCCTGAAGATGGCCATTTGGATCACCTTGTGTTTGGAGGACTAGAGATGATACAGACTGAGATGAGATAACATCAACCCCATAAGGGGTTAATTTAAGCATACAGAGAGATGAGCTGGAACCACATGGAGGGGATGGGGCCTGGCCTTGAGCCATAGCTGCATATCTCTGAGCCTCTGACTTCTTGTTTTAGGCCTAGGGATACGGGCTTGGGTCCCTGTGGGCTCAGGGCTCACCCTACCTCCAAGCCCTGATCACTATTTTTTAGGTCATCCTGGGTCTAGATGGGGTAGCCAAGGTTACAACTGGGAACAGAAAGTCCCAGCTCAGGGTCCCTGGCCGAGCTGGGAAACCACCAGAATGTTTGCCTGGCCCCTCCACGACCCTGCCAGATTCCTTCAAGAAACAACAGCTGGACTCTCACAAAGCTGTACCTCAAGCATACTATTATTGTCTTTCCAACAGACCACCCAAAATCCTGCTGGGAGGTTTCCCAAATACGACAGCCAAGTCCAGCACCTGGAGACACGCCCCCTTCCTGCCTTTGACTCTCTCTCCTCCAGGATGCTGGGCCAGGCCAAACAAGGAACTGGAGCATTCAGGGCCCCCATGCTGCCCCCATCCCAACTCATGTGCACCACCTCAGTCCCCACCCGCAGTCCCCATGTGCCAGCTTTCTCTTCCCCTTCATCTAGTTTAGTTTAATTCAACAATCTTTTTTTTTTTTTTTTTTTTTTTTGAGATGGAGTTTCGCTCTTGTTGCCCACTCCAGCCTGGGCAACAAGAGTGAAACTCCATCTCAAAAAAAAACACGAAACAACCTCAGCCTCCCAGGTT